GATCTCCCCACGCTAATCATTCACAGAAGGTGTTTTAAATGTGTGCAATCAAAACAACCATAGTTTTTTCCAACTGCAGGAGGTGATCATTATGTCAGTATAAGCAGGAGAGCAGTACGATGACACTATGTCTCCTTTATTCAAAAGTATATTTCTCGGTAGACCATTTAATAATAAAAGATAATATATTACTATACAAATTATTTATAATGATTTAATAGTAATACCATAGATAAAACATACTCCCTTAGTAGATTTCCCATCATTATGGAACAGCTGAAGCCAATTTTACTGTTAGTTCTGTCCGGTGTACTGTAGAGTCGTGTTTTGTTTACAATTCGCATCTTGCTATTTCAGTAATTTAAAATCTCGTTTAATCAAATAAAACTATCCAATCATAAACAATAACTTGTCTACTAGCTATATAACCAAACAGTGAAGCACAAATCATAAGAAACTAACCCTAAAATAATAGAAACAAATTGTAAACAAAACACGACATCGTCGACCTCTACAGTACACCGGACAGAACTAACAATAAAATTGGCTTCAGCTGTTCCATAAGGATGGAAAATCTGCTAAGATGTATGTTTTATCTTTGACTATTAATACAACAACACTTGTGGGATGCAAATAATTCAAGATTGAAGTGAGTCAAAATGTGGGAACACCTGTAAAGTAATAATTAAGGGTGTGTTTGGTGTATTTGTTTTTATACCTGGCAAGCGCCTGATCATACTGGATGTAAGAGAGGGATCCATTGTACATGTCCCAGAGAAGCCACCTTCGCTCCTCTCTCACTTGCGACTCAAGCTGACGTAGTCGGCTCAACTCATCCGGGTACTCTAAGTGACGGAATATCTATGGTAACATGTTATGGTAAAAATTGAGGTACTTGTTTCACATACCAACACTACATTAGAACTTAGTGTTAACACTTTTTTATATTTTAGTTTATATTTATAGATTCAAATGCAGTTTTTCACAAGATTTCTTCATTTTCATTGCGTCGACCGTTAATAAATAATACATTTACATCACAAGACATGATACAAAAACATAAACGACTGGCGGCCAACTTGAGTCAGTCCAACAAGAAATTGTATTGAAGTCAAGCATGTCTTTAAGCAGCAGAAAGCTTTGATAATCATTTTTGACTTGTCTATCCAGGGTATTTGCTAACATTTTTTTAAATTGAAATACATTATAAATTAAATCTCAAAGTGTTTACTCGTTTAGGTTCATTTTGCTAAACATTGTCTTGTTAAAGACAAAATGCACATTTTTTATGAAACAAGCAGCCACAAGCATCAGCAAATAAAGTAGACCTTCTTTAATAAATCATTATAATGCCAATGTCTGTAGCGTAGCTTAGATCTGATATGCTTGAACTCTTGCCTAAGGTGCCTGAAGAATAAGAAGCATTTTACTTCACAAAATAATTTAACTTAAAAACCATATTGTATTTCTCATTTGTAATAATAGTACAAAATAGTTCTTTGTAGTAGCCTATGATATTCTTCCAACGTAAATTGTAGCGGTTTCCATTTATTGACTCATGTGCCTCCCCTTTTTCATAACTGGCTTCTATATAGGCTTATGTTACTTTTTTGTACAACTTTGTCAAATTTTTGTGATTTGGCAATAACATAATATTACTAAAATAATACCCAAATTCATACAAAATCCTACACCCATATATGTTGTCTATTTCCATTAAAAAAATCACTCATTGCAGTTCCTTCAAATAGATTAAGCTTTGGTAAAATATTTACTTGAAAATGAACTTGTGTTTTCAAAAGAACTGTGTGTGAGTAGAAGAGAGTTGTCTGCGCAAACAAAGGAGGTTGTTGTTTCAACAGTCTAAGTATACTCTATGACGTAAAACACAATCATTTCAAAACCAATGTTTGACTGTATTGAAACAACATTTGTCATAAATTCTACAGTGTTTTGGAATACTTTGAAGATCTCAGTTATTGAGATTTTACTTAATTTTAAACCAGTAGGTTACAAATTTATTTATTTTAAAATTTGGATTTTTAACTATGTTTCAACCAGTGTTGTGAGTAATTTTTCTTTTTGTAAAAACATTAATTTTTTACTCGCTTGACATGTAATTTTATTTGCTTGCCCCAGTGGCCCAAATGGGTCTGTAGGGGCCTTATCACCCCCACTGTACAGCACTCATGCTACAACCCGTATCAATTATGTGATAGCCATACAGGCAAAAAAGATTTTCATCATACAGCAAAAACTGCTTTTTCCATATATGTTACAGGTCTAAAGTACTTCAGTAGCTCTTTTCTTCTCTAGGGTGAAAACAAATCATCTGGATTTGTTTGAGGACATCTCCTGTACATTTTCCCTATGGTTGTTACCTTCAATTAAGAAATCGGTCAACTTTAAATGAGCATTGTGACAACAATTTTACCATCAAGTTTAAAGTTTATCAAGACTAACCAATCCTCCTAGGGCTGTGTAAACAATGAGAGCAACAAACAGCCCAACATGACTTGTAGCTGCTTTGTACCATCTCTTAACAGCTGATAGTCTCACAGAAGGATTAATGTTCTTCTTCTCCTCCTGTCTGCCAGCTGACACTCCATTCTCTGCAATCAGCTGATCCTTGACACCCATCACTGGTTCTTCTCCTCACTGTAAGTGTTATATGAGGTTTTTTTTTTTTAAAAAAAAAGAGGTTGGCGGTCTCTTTTATCCTTGCATTTGCCCGTCCACATAGACTAAAGCACCCGTGCGTGGATCGTTAACAGCAAAGCAAGGAGTGAGCCGGTACAGTACAAAGGTGAACTGTACTGATAATATGTTATCGGCAGTGACCAGGATCCGAACCCACGACATCGCTGCCTTGGGCCCGAAGTCCGCGACGCTACCGACTGAGCCACCGACTCACTAACCAGATAAGATAAGGTCCAATAAGATCTGAACTAAGTGTTTTTTTTTTCTAATGCAATTTCAATAATGTACATTAGAAATTTGTGTTAACAAGGTAATTTGTCCTCAAAAGTAATATTCTGCAAATATATAAGCTTTTTTCCAAAAGTTTTGAGTTTGTAGCTCTAAATACTGTATAACTAATTTAGAATACCCTAAATACTCTTTATACAAAGTAATCAAATTGTGTGAATCAAAAGTAAATTCATCTGCTGAATATAGCTAGACATAGATAGCTATATTTTATATTTATCATTATTGAAAAGGGTTGATTTTATAAAAAAAAATGTTTCAAATGCAGATAGTCCAATCAAAATAAGAATATAAATACAATGTAGAGGACTTTTTTCAAGTTTGGCTGATTAATTTTTGGAAAAACTAAGGATATATAATTAGTATTGGTACAAAGGCTAAAAATCACTTAAACACTAAACATAACAATTAAAATAAATTTCAGTTTTATTTTTATTACTTAGAGGTTAATATTCACTTGTTTCTAAAGACTTAAACTTTAAAATACCCCCACCGCAGCAAACCTGCTGACTAAGAGAATTTATATTTCTTAATTGGTTTTCAATCCATTTGAATAACATTAGGTTAAACGAGTACCTAGGTTTGCTGCTACAGGGAGGCTAATAAAGTGTGTATTTTAGTAAAATAATTTCCCCTATAGGAAAATTCTCTGAAACTAAACTAACATGTATTAAGTACATTTATTATTTTGTTTTATAGTTCAAGAGCTTACCCTTGCAGCTGAAGTGACTAGAGCGCCAACTGACAGCCAACAATCACTGGAACTGTTAAAAATAGTTCTCCGAATGACACCACGAATAGAAGGCATAAGTGCATGTTTAAGTTCTGTACAGTTTGGAGTCTAAGTTTGGTACAGTCTGGAACTTAAAAGCTTTGTATTTTCTAAGCTTCCTCTGTGTATGAATTATGGTTTTATTGTAAAATTATAAAACCTTTGTTGCTGGCTTAAACAGGCGCTGAGTGTACTTCAGTTTGCTGAAAAACATAAAATTGTTTTTTGGCAACAATATAAATTAAACCATTATTATTAAAGTTAAAACTTGCCAAATTTCATTAGATACTTCTTCTGTGTTCTGTAAACACAAAATCTACTGCAGGCAAAATCTAAGGGGGATATTGAAGATAACTTACCGCATATAGCAATCATTTTAAAATAAACAGTACAGACTCCGAAATTGTGCCTTGAGGTACTCCAAAGTTTTCACCTGGATATGCGTCACCTGGGTTATTATTACCTTTTGAAGCACCATTAATTTAAGTCTAAAATTTTTCCAAAATAGAGGGTATAAAGCAGAAATTTTGTAGTAGGCCTAATTACAAACAGATTTTAAGGATGGACCTAATGTGACCTTGGGGGATGTGTTATCAACTGTTATCAGTGGTGGTGATTTGTCAGTTGTCCATTGAGCAGTGAAGTGTAGGACTGACCTAACCTTTAGACCTCTTGATTGCCCCCTCTCTTAGTCATGAAAGATACAAAAACATATTTCATTCTGTGCATGATGACTTTGTAAGTAAACATTGCAATTACTTATCCCTAAAATGAATAAATGTTTCACTGCGTTAGAGATATTATTTGATTTTTTTTACCAGAGGGAATGTGCATTTATATTATAATTTATTTACATTCTCGCAGAAATAAAGTATTTAACAAAAACGTTAAGTACTGGGATGAAGTATTAATTAATTAGAAAATTTTGTTTTAAATAATCTGAAGAAGAAAAGCGAAATTACAAATATTCTGATGAAAGGGGATAAAGAATTACCAAACAGTTCTGAAAACTACTCAAACTTAATCCCTTAAGATTATTTCTAGAGTGTAACATCTTAATTTGATTACCGGATGCGGATTAAACATAAGAAGTTTGTAAGCCTTATTTGCTTTTTACTTTTCCGACACATAATCCAAGTCCTAATTTCAAGACAATCCAAGTCCTAATTTCAAGACAAAGACACTGGGTTTACAATAGCAACGTTACATGTTCAATTTAGTAGTCTTATTTAGAGTTAACTAGAGTCTGGAGCCAAGACCTTGCCTATAAGTATACTTGCAAACATCTGTTATGAAATCTGTTTATATTTTTTGCTCTTTGGCAGTGATATTGTAAGTAAAAAGATTTATTAATTTGCATGTTCTGATTGCTGCACTTCCTTAGAGCATTCGTTTCTAAAGAAAATTATTTTTTGTATGTTTTTACAACATATATAATATATACATTTACAATAAGGTTCTGAAATTTTGTAAGAATACAAAATTTAGTTGGAAGGAAAGAGTGATGTGAAAAGAACCATGTTTAAATACAATTCTTGAATTTTAATATAAACTTGCAAAGCATGAGCTCTATTTCTGAATTGGCGATCTTGATTAAAATAAAAATATAAAAGATTTGAGCTACAGTAAAGTGTTTTTAATAAGTAAATTTTTTATTTTCAAATTTTATTCTTTTATAGACAAACGAAACATCAAAAGTTAACAACTCATACTCAGACAACAATAGATATGTTGTTAAAATGAAACTGATCTCTTTGAAGCATGGATAGTTTTTTCATCACTCCGTAACGAAAGTAACTACTTTCGATAACAGCTGACATCAATGAAAGTAGTCGTTTCCCAAGCTCTAATTTAGGGCGAGGGAAAATCGATCAGCTGATTTTCCCTCGCTCTAAATTTACTTTCCCTCGCTCTCAATTAGTTCTCTATTTATTCAATACGCGCGCTAGTGTTTTGTTATGGTTTAATTTAATGATTTGAATCAGCTGTATGTATTGTTCAAAGTTGTTTTATACTTTTATTTTGATATTTGAACAAAATGTATTGAGAAATATACGTAGGTTTCCTTTTAGAACATTTTATTTTATTTTATTTTGATGTTCAATCAAATTAATTGAGAAATAAAATAGTTGTAATATTACTGAGGTCTGCTATTCTGTATTTGTGTATTTTTGCGTCGTGATAAAAAGTATCGTTCATAACTCGTACCGAAAGTTATTATCCGGCACTTTCTCCGCCTCGTACGGGAAAATAGCTCTTACATACTCGGCTTCGCCTCGCACTCACTTTGTGCACTATTTTTCAGCTGATACAAAAAAGTAATATAATTGTTTCCCAAACTCTAGTTTAAGTTCTAAGTTTTATCAGTTTAAAGTTGAAACCGATCAGCTGATTTTAACTTGCTCTAATTTACTTTCCCTTCCTGTCAATCAGTTCTTCATTTGTGTGCTAATGTTTGTTTACAATCATTCCTTTTATAAAAAAAATCAGCCGTTTTTACTCTTCAACCATACACAAATGTAAACAGAAACATGCAGAAACTAATTTATTGCTGTGTTTACTGCACAATAAACGTAACCTTAAACTTGAACTTCTAATTTTTATGTTACTGTTATTTAGGTTGTTATAACCCATTTGCTTCAATTTTCCTTTTAATGTTACTTAGGAAATACAGTATAATAGTTTTATTTTACCGAGGACTGCTAATTCTGTTTGTAAGTATATTTTGTGTCATGATGAAAAGTATTGTTCATAACCACTTATAACGTATAATGTTTGACGTACCATACCGAAAGTAATTTTCCAGCACTAGAGCCAATTATTCCCGTCCTCCGTATTACCTCGTACATGGATGTGTTCAGCGGCATAAATAACACCCCCACAACCCCTGCAGTGCGGGAGGGCGCCAACTTCCAGGGTCCAGGGGGTACTGAGGTCCTGACACCGCCGACAGCAATCACAAGACCTACCTGTCTACATGACCAAAGAAGATGTTCACGATTTTGACACAACTGCTGAATGAGATGATGTAATTTCCGTTACCGCGGGAGATGAAGATCGCTCGTTGTACTTACGCCACTGCATGTGTTTGGCTTTGCCTTACTTATGAAACTTGAGTACACACCGGAGAATGCCACTTTCCAGTAATGAAATTTACTATTCGATCATTTAAACCCAAATGCTGATAGGAATATTATTATTTTATTGATGCTTCAAGAAGAATGAGTGTACTATTTGTTACTAGATGATTATTTTAGATCAGTAACTACCGTACCTAATTTTTGTTCTGTAACCAAACTATTTTTATTTTCAGTGCAGTCCTATTGGGGCTGGGTCTGTTTGCAAGTATTTGGTGGCTTGATGCTTCAGTTCAAGCTTCTAAAACTTCTCCTCACATAATTATCATCTTGGCAGATGATTTGGTGAGAAAACAAGGAGAAAATAAAATATTCAATAAGAATAACATAGCTGTGCACTTAGAAATAGTTATCAGTAGTCACTTTGATAACGTCTTAGGATAAAATTATCAGTATGTGTAGCCTAGTTTACGCCAAAAATAAAATGTAGAAACATGTGTATAGTAGGACAAAAGAAAATCTATTGTAGCCTTCTGTTGCAGGCAAAAGTAAATTATGCTTAACCAGAATATCATACTACTCAGTGTCATTGACTTGGTTTAAAAAATAAAACTTTCAAAATGCTCATGTTATGTCTTGGCAAACAAATACGATACTCACACCTCTTAATGAAGAAAGGGTACATTAGTGAGATAATGGACTTGGACAAAGAACTTATAGAAGTTAAAAGAATATGCCATACATAAAAAGTTAGTTTGACACATACGTGTTATTGTTACATAAGTACTTTTTTAAATCCAAACTGTTTGTGCTACCAAATACCGTAGCAGGCAGGACCAGATCTTCCATAGTGGACAAGGCCGCTAAGGTGGCGCTTTTTCCAATCGGTTGATGGCCAATGCGGGAGATCCTCAGTAAAGTTGTAGAAGGCTTTTGATGTCTGTATACCAGTACATATACCTATACTGTGCGGTAGTGTAAGTGTGGACGTGTATTCTAAAAAGGTAGATATACAGGATGCAGTTTGTATGTGTGCAGATTCATGCAGCATTCAGGATAGCATCCAACTTTCTGACACAGTTTGTCCAGAGTATTCTCCTCTTAAGGCTTAGGTCACATGTTAACTTTACCTGAAGAAATATGGTGAACAATCTCAGGTCCGCTTCTAACAGAGTAGAGGTTTTTAAAATTAAATCGAGATTTTCCTGGTTAATTCAGAAGCCTCACACACTACTGGTTGACCACCTGGGTGCATAAACAAATTTTACCTCCTCTCCATGAATACAAAACCAAAAAGATAAACCCTCTGAACTTTTTGCATACATTTGGATTATGATTCCAGGAATTGAGCGACGTCAACTACACTACTCAGCCTATCTGTACACCAGCCATGGTTTTGTTCTAATATTGTGTTTCCAGGGATGGAACGATGTCAGTTTCCATGGGTCAGACCAGTTCCAGACACCCAACATTGATGCCCTAGCATACTCTGGTGTCATTCTACAGGACTACTACACTCAGCCTATCTGTACACCAGCCAGGGCTGCCCTGCTTACTGGCAGACACCCCATCAGTAATGGTGAGCAGATCTTCTGTAAACCATCATAGCCTGTAGTTGGTACCTATATTAAAATTTTCGATGGTTTCTACAGTTCAAAAATTTGCATTGAAGAAACAAACGTATAATATTATATATTTAGTGTTTAAATGCTGTAGGAATGGAGCATGATGTGATATACGCTCCACAACCATGGGGTCTCCCACTCTCGGAGCGTATAATCCCACAGTATCTACAGTCTTTGAACTACAAGTCCCATGCAGTGGGGAAGTGGCACCTCGGCTTCTTCCATTCCAACTATACTCCAGCCAGGCGAGGCTTTGACTCTCACTACGGCTCCTGGCTTGGGCATCAAGACCACTACTCACATATGGGGTATGAGGTTAGAGGAATCATGATAAGTTGGATTAAAAAAAATTATTTCAATTTACGAATACATCACTGATTAGTACGAGTAGGTAGACAGATTCAGCCAATAATATAGGTTTGTAATAAGCCCTCAAACAAATAAAGTAGCTAACACCAATCTTCAAATAAAGAGCAACAATATATTTTTTTTAAACTAGATACAATCTATATAAAAAAATAAATCTCTAAGGAGTGTGTGCTCTTTTAGCAAATTTCCCTATAGGGAAGTAGCTATTACCGTAGGTCTCATGGTAAGACCTAGGCCCGGGACCGATTTACTTTTTCATTTTGATGTCCCCAGAGGCCAAAAACACCATTCGTTCAAATTTGTATATATATATATATAGATATACATATATATACATACATATATATACACATATATTAAAATTAAAACATATATAACAAAGTACCCTTTTAGTAATTATTTTATTTATTTATATATATATATATATATGTGTGTCCATCCACACGATAACTTGAGTAATTTTTGTCCGATTTTGATAAAATTTGGTTTGAAGGTGTAAGGCGGGATCAACTTGAATGAGTTTGCGAACCAACATGATCGGACTATGGAAACGGGGGTTTATGGGGGGTTTTATGGGGTAAAAATAGATTTTTCCCATTTTAGACCCTAAAAACACAAATTTTCACAATTTCTTTTAAAACCATTTTGTAGAACTTAAAAAACAAATAATTTAGTATATTGAAGCGTTATTATGCGCCTAATTGTTACGGAGAAAATAAAAAAAAAGGTAATTTTAAAATTCCCATGTTATTCTTATGGAGAATAAGTCAACTGTTGTAATTTGCTTGTTTATGAACATATTTTGATCAAATTTGGAAAATACATTAATTTCTTACTAAGCCACAGTACCTTTTAACATTTTACATTAAAAACAACTTTTTTACCCTCCCTGTTGCAGCAAACCTAAGTACTCATTAAACTAATTCTGTTTAAATAGGGAATAAATGTGATATTTTTAAGGAAACATTTTAGTTTAAATCCAATCAGGCAAATGGAAATTCGCTAAGTTTGCAGGTTTGCTGCGGCGGGGGTATTTTATGCTTGTATTTTCTCCAGCCTCATCCAGGGTATGATTTCCATCGTGATTTGAACGTCAGCTGGGACGCTGCAGGTATGTACACCGCAGATCTCTTCACCAAGGAGGCTGAGCAGATAATTAGAGATCACGATGATTCTCAACCTCTCTTCCTCTATCTTGCCCATGATCTGCCTCACGCTCCTCTGCAAGCTGATGACAAAACTGTCAAGAGATTCTCTTACATTCCAGACAAAAAGAGACAGAAATTTGCAGGTAACTATTGGTTGAATCAAGCGCTTCTTTATAAAGGAGAGCCAACAATATAAATTTATTAAAATGTGTAAAACTTAAAAATACATATTCCTGCATTAAGCGTTTCAAAAGTGGATAGTTTGACCTCAGAAAATTAAATTTATTGTTTACAAAAACAACAGGTCAAATCAAAGTGTCTTTATTTCATGTTTGTACATCAGTATATGGAATGGTGTCAAAAACTATATCTAAAACTTAACCTAAAGTTACATGAATGTATGTAATCTAACATGAATTTAATTTGACATTTATTTTTTTGCAACATATGCACATTCCTCTATGGTCGTGATGACATCATCAGCAACTCTCGTGATCGCAAGAACATCTCGACATCTCCCCCCACCGGCCATGAAGTTATTGTCATCGTACCTTGTGGTTGCAGCAATATCTCTACACCCCCTCCTCGGTCATGAAGACATCATCAGCGCTACAGATAGTAGTGGCAAAATCTATATGTTCCCCCAGGTTGCAAAGACATCATTATTGCTTCCACGATTGCGCTAATATCTCATAATTCCACCGCTTTCACGGTGGCATCGACGTCACCAATCGAGATGGCAGCAATATCTACATTCCCCTCAGTTGTGTTAATTTTGAAGTGTTAACATTAAATTAATTAAATGTTAATAATTAATTATTGATTATGTAGAATCAAAATTGTATTGCAAGTGCTAATAAAATGAATTAATTTCACAAAACATTTGTTAGGGCTACTTACAAAAACCTTTACCATCAATGGCAATACGTAAACAAAATTCACCCGAAACATCTCAGTGGCACAAGTGCTTCGCTGTCCCTTCTCTCTGAGCATGCCACTCATGCCCTGTGCATTGAGCTCGGAGAGGAGATCATCAGATTCAATAGATTCGGTGACAATATGCCACCCTGTAGACACCCTCTTTGGGCCTTGACCTCTCTCACCGTTCCACACAGAGATGCTTGTGCTCCCCTACTTTTGAGCATGTTGCCTACCCACCTCACAACAGTGCTTACCACACACAGTGATGGTGTTATTTTTGTTGGTTTTGGTATGGTGGTATGGAATGTCTGGTTATATCAATAGTTAAACGCTATACTTTATTGGTCTTCAGATTGGATATTTTTGTTCTAGCAATGGTGACAGCACTGGACGACTCTGTCGGTTGTGTAATGAGGTCTCTTGAGGCGAAGGGCATGTTGAACAACTCCATTGTACTGTTCCTATCTGACAACGGAGGTGCAACTAATGGATTCAATGGCAACGTTGCTTCCAACTGGCCTCTAAGAGGGGTTAGACGAGTTTTCTTACTTTTACAGCTGTTTTATGATCTAATTGTCTGGTTTAGCATAAATAAGTTAAATACTGTAATACTTTGATACTTTTAATACTTAAAAACTTAAATCTGAAATGGTGACCATAGAAAGTAGGTATTTTAAGCCAAGTATGAATGGAGATGAGTGTCGTATGAATGGCGCTATCTTTTAGTCTTGTTAGTGACTAAGGCTGACATATTCCTTAGACACTGCTGTTGATTAATAGCCCATATAGCCAATGACAACTAAGGGACCTACAGTTTAAAGTGGTATCCGAACCGAACCAAATTTTTTTCTTAATTGACAAATTGGTCTAAATATCAGGATAGTACTTCGGATGGTTGTAGTACTCACTAGTGTGGACGTTAATCCACACCACGGAGTATCGCATCCATAGTGCATGCCTATAAATATCCACAATTCATGACCTACTAGTTGTTGGATTACCGGACAACACCACTGTCCCAGTAAAAAAAATAATGAAATTATAAATACCAGAAGAGGACGTCATAAATTGCCGAGGCGCATATGAAAAGCTAAATTGAGTTCTGACTATGAATAGTTAAAAACTTTCTTAGCTTCTTAAACAACTAGATCCTTTTTAGTGCTACTTAAAATAAGTATTAGTTAAGTCGCATGGGCCTAAATTTTAACAAAGTATCATGAATAATAATTAATTAAGCCAATAAACAAGACGATTCCATAAACATCAGTTACCATTTGTCACTGTTTTATACATTTGAGTGCTTTCTAACTGTTGATTGCATATTCCACAGATTTAGAACATTCTGTCAAAGACATCTTACGAAGGGAATTTAGCTATGAAATACACAAATCGAGAATTAAAGATGTTTACATTTTATACATAAGATTAAAATAGCATTGTAAATTTTTCAGATATATATAAAGCAGAACTAATTAACAAAGAATAACTACGCCACTTTTTACTATATTGATTTTATTTTTGATATTCTTTACTTCAATACATAAAATATAAAATTAGCAATATATTTTTTTTTTATTCAAGGTATTCTTGGCGACATTTGTCTTAAAAATTAGTATAAAACAAGGTTTTTGACTTTGGCTGGGCTTGTATTTTAATCGTTACATTTTAGGCACTCTCTCAACTGAGGATGGAATCAGATTCCAGATCCTGCGATGTAATAATCAAAACTTGTATTTTTGCTATTCCTAATGGAAAATGTCCGCAATAATTCCACTAAACAAAACACCATCAAAACATAGCCTAAATCAAAGAAGTATGTACCTAATATTAGTTCTAAAAATTATCCCTACCATGATATCCAGGGCAAGGACACGCTGTGGGAGGGTGGAGTGCGGAGTGTCGGAGTTATCTGGAGTCCTCTACTGAAGTCAACTCCCAGAGTTCACAGAGGCCTGGTCAATGTACAGGACTGGCTGCCTACATTACTGGAGGCTGCAGGAGTTGGCAACCAAACTTTGGGTTGGTACTATATGATCGTTTGGAACTGTTAAAGGTGGAGTTGTAAACAAAAAATGTATAAAACAAATGTAAACAGTAGAGGCTCTGGGTCGTGAAGAGGGACATTGATTTAAAACCCAATATAAACAAATATTCAAAGTCTTCAATGTACATTTTAAATCATTAAATGCTGCTGATGTACATATTTTCGTGGAGGTGTTCGTAAAAATCAAAATAGTAGGCAACGGTCCCCATTGTTGAAAACACATCCTGGAGCCCTCCAAAAAGTACACAGGAACACAATAGGGTAAAAATGAGTTGTTGTAAAAATATGTTTGAAAATTGTACATTTTTATGTTTTGAAAGGATTTACAGGATATACCGTAACCATATGTTATACAATAATTATGTTAATATTTTCTATTCCAACCCAGACTAACAATGCATAAAGGTAAAAGAAATTATTAAATTTACCATCAAGGTCTGTTAACCGGTTGATAACACACACATTAGATATTTTTAAAGGAGTTCAGTTTTTCCCATATAGGGAATAAGCTATTACCGTAAGTCTTGTGGTGAGACCTGGACCCCGGACCAATTTTCTTTTTCGTTTTCATGTCCCCACAGGCCAGAAACACCATCTGTTCAAATGCATATATGTGTGTGTGATGTCTGTATGTCAGCATTATAATTCTAGAAAAGATTATCCCTTTTCAATGAAATTTGGTACAAATGTGTAAACCTACAGTTTGCAAACCAGCATGATCTGACTATGGGAATTGGGTTTTAAGAGGTAAAAATTGGGTTTTTCCATTTCTGACCACCAAAACGTAACATTTTGTAATTTACTTTAATGTTATTAAAGTGGTTTAAAAACCTGAATTTAACTTAAATAAAAAAAATACCCCCGCCGCAGCAAACCTGCCGACTAAGCCAATTTCCATTTGTCGGAATTGATTTTCAATTAAATCTATTTTAATAACATTAGGTTTAACGAGTCCCTAGGTTTGCTGCTACAAGGAAACTGTTAAAGTGGGGTTTTTAGTAAAATATTAATAGCTTAGTATAAAATAAATAAATTTGCCAAGTTTTATCAAGATATATCCATAAACAAGCAAACTACAACATTTTACAATATTATCTATAAGAATAACATGGGAATTTTAAAATAACAATTTTTTGAGTTTTCTCCGTAACCAATAATTGTAAAAAAAACACTTTGATGTACTTAATTATTTGTTTTTTTAAGCTCTTAAAAAAGGTTTAGAATGAGATAAATTGGGATATTTTGTGTTTTGAGGGTCAAAAATGAGAAAAACCATTTTTTACCCCATAATACCCCCCGTAAAACCCTGTTTCAATGGTCCGATCATGCTGGTTTGCGAACTCATTCAAGTTTATCCCGCCTTACACCTTTCAACCAAATTTCATCAAAATCGGACAAAAATTACTCAAGTTATCGCGTTTACGGACGTATATATATATAGATAGATAGGCCTATATATATCTTCTATCTAATATATAAAATTCTCGTGTCACAGTGTTTGTCTGCAAACTCCTCCGGAACGACTTCACCGATCGTTATGAAATTTGGTGTGTAAATTCTGTAGGTATGCGAATAGGAAGTAAACTATTTCCCGTTTCGAAATTCTTAAAAGGGCTCTGCCCCAGTGGCTCTGGAGTTTCCCATGTTAACCTTATGAGAAATGGAATTAATGAATCTTAACAGCTGTTTCAATTAAACAAGTTGGTTCTGTTCTATGATATTCAATAGCATTAAAGTTACAAGGATTACCAACAGGGTGCAGCACTATTATTTCTTTTACATTTATGACAACAGCTAATTTGCAACCAAAAGGTGAGTGAGCGTAGCGAACGAACTTCAACCTGGAGGCGAGTGAGCGTAGCGAACGAGCTAACCTGAAGGCAAGTGAGCGCAGCGAACGAGCTCCAACCTAAAGGTGAGTGAGCGTAGCGAACGAGCTCCAACCCAAAGGTGAGTGAGCGTAGCGAACAAACTTCAACCAGGACGTGATTGAGCGATGCGAACGAGATCATCTTGAAAATTAAACGTAACGGTACTTTCTTTCCATCGGTCTGTCTTAGGGGAAACCTATAACTTAGGCGATACGAAGTTCGCCGGGTCAGCTAGTATACATATATTAAAATTTGAACGAATGGTGTTTTTGGCCTCTGGGGACATCAAAATGTACAAGTAAATCGGTCCCGGGCCTAGGTCTTACCGTGCCACCTACGGTAATAGCTACTTCCCTATAGGGAAATCGCTAATACAATAAATACTTTTTGGATAAAAATATAAATAAGTTGGAGAAAAATACTTGCAGTCAGTATAATATTGCTATTGGAGTTATTCAAACTAGTGTTTCTAATTTTACCATGACTTACCTAATGCATCTTTCAGATACAAGCCATCTAGACGGTGTAAGTCAATGGCCCTCTTTGCAACAGAAGACAAAACCACCGTACTCAACTATGCTGCATAATGTCGACAAACAGAGGAAAATTGGTGCACTGAGGCATGGCAACTGGAAACTCGTCACTGGTACTTGTACTGCATAGTCTAACTGAAAACAGATCAGCAAAAATTGTCAGTTGTTCTCATGATCACTGTTAAATCCTTCTATTTCTTTCAAAATCCGTACACTGACTGTGCAGTCTTTAAAAAAGCTTGAACCACATAGGGCTTAGCTAGCTTATAACTTTTTGTAAGGAGTTTGTTGTAAGGCTGGTCATCACCAAGACAATATAGTTCGGCCGCTTAGAAAGCGACCTCCTCTAGCATTGGTTAGCATTAGCGTGCAGGTCGCTTTCTAAGCAGCCAAACTATAGTAGGTTCACTGACTTCTTATTACTTGACCAGGTTAGTGAAATTCAGATTAAATAAACTTTTCTTTCTATGAAGAAAAGAAACATTTTCCTGGGACCGGGTGCACCTTTTATCTTTAAAAATATTTTTACAGATGAAAGTCTGGAATAGTGTATTCCTAATTGAAAATTTAATACAGCATACTTTGCCAAAACCCTGTAGTTTACAGCAACAAATAAACTTCCTAAATTCCTAAACGAGATGAAATGTTCACACAAAAACATCGGTCAGAACCATGTAAAAGCATAATTTTAAAATTTATTATAAAAACAATCTGCAATTCAAAAAATGTCTTCTTAAATGTTGAATGAACTAAAATAGTTTTGTAAGAGCAATCGGATGATGACAATGTGGATTGTGGATTAGTGATACAGGAAATTATCACATGACCATGGCAAGGCCACAACCTCATTGTGAAACTGGCGTCAGAGTTTACCTGCTTCATTGAAATTGAAAGTATCTCCGTCAAATTTCGGTTGAGTAACATCGATCGAAAGTGAAACAGTGTCATGAAATTAACAACTTAACTGTCAACTCACCTCTGGAAGCTGGCGGGAAAAGTCATCTTAGCAGTTTCCTTAGTTTAATAAATAAAAAAAGTTGTTATCTATGTCCTTTTCACGTATTATTGATATATACATGAAAATACCATGAAAACCAATCAGGAGAATAACAAAAAATCCAATATAACTAAAAAAAATTAAATACAACTTTTTATAACAAATCAGCAAAGGTATAATGAAGCAGCATTAGGTACTGCTCTTAAATAAGTTGTCATAGCTTATTACAATAAATCATAATATTAGTAATATTTTTGTACCTACAATACGGTGTCTACATAATTAATGTTAAGTGGTTTGCAAGAAAGTCAACATATTAGAATCCGTTTCATTTATTTCATATAATAATTTGTACTCATTTATTAGTATCCAATGTCTATAATTTATCAGTCCAATACCAGAAACTCCTACAAAATCTTATAGGCTTATTTGTTAATTTAGAATCATTCAATAAAAATATCCCTTAAATTTAACAAAATGAAGTGAAGATGTCAATGTTTGTTCCAGGTAGAACGTACAACGGAGCTTACGATGGGTTTTACGGACGTTTGAATGGCAAAGTGGCTTATGATTTGAATAAAATAAGGAACAGTGAAACAGGAAAAGCTGTTAGTAACACTACATCACCTCTGCCCTGTGACTCTGATATCTTGAAGATGAGGACAGCGGCTACAGTCTCGTGTTTATCTTCCCAAATAGGTAAGCAGGAAAGAGATTTAAAATAACAATGATAATAATAATAAGAGGAAGAATCAATTAATCATCTAAACATTACATGGAAAACACATTGTCAGCTACAATAATCAGGCTAGTTTTTAAAAGTCACTTCAGCTTCAGACTATTAATCAGTACTAGAAGTGGTCCAGTGGCTGAAAACTCAATCAAAAATATGTAATGTCACACTTCTTCTATTCACACTGTAAATAAAACATGTGATTGGAATTTCTTCCATTTGTTTTGATTTTCTATGTATATTTCATTGTTATTTCGTCACCATGAGCATGGCAACCCATAAGGCCCATGTAAATTTTTTGTGCTTATTTTTATCCTGGTTTAATAAAAAAAAATATTCTGCACACCTGCAGAGAAATATCCTTTTAACAGTAAGCATAGATTTCCCTGCAATGGACAGGAGTTGAGAAATAAGGTTTTCAAGAAACATGCTTGCTTATTAGAATTAAAATAAAATGAAAACTCCTTTGTTGAATACAATGGATCGTTCAACAGACGGTTTGTAAAATTAGACTAAAATATATATATTAATAGACAAGCATGTTTCTTTAAATCCTTTTTCTCAGCTTGTGCGCATCGCAGGAAAAATCTACACATATGGTTAGAAAAATATTTGCCTGTAGAAGTGCAAAATCGATTTATAAATTAAAATAGGCTCAAAAATATGCAAAAAAATTAATTTAAATTAAAAAAAAAATGTCATGGGCCATGGGTTGCCATTCTGATGGCGAAATAACAAACAGAAAATAAAAAAAAAAAATGGAAGAAGTTCCAATCACGTGTGTTATTCACAGCGTAGGACCAGGACGAAAATAGACAAGTTTGCCCAATACATTTTTTTTGTTGAGTTTTCAACCACTGGACGTCCTCTAGTATAAATAATTCAACACTGAAATGGTAAATCACTAATCAGTCTTAAGCCTGAGATAATTTTAATTAATTATTTAATTTAACACAGCATTTTGTATTCAAGCATTTTTATTTTCTAATCAAAGAAAACAATATGATTTTTATTTTCCAGCAACTCCAAAAGTGACTCCACACGTAATTCATATTAGGGACACAATGTTTATTGTGGATGTCAATGAAACTGGTTCTGCAATGCAGAGGAAAATGAATAAAAGAAAACATTCAAACACTTCTAATGAAGGTTTGTGGATATAATGGTCATAAGTCACATCTAAGATAATAATTATAGCTATTAAAGTAGGTATTAATTATGATTAGAAATGGGCCTAACAATATAATGTGTAGCTGCAGTTTTTACGATTTTCGTATTAGATTACTTAAAAAATGCATTGGAAGACTTTGATTGAATCTAAAATTTAATGTAAAAATCTCGATCTTAAAAAGTCTAAGCTTGTCGTTATTAAATTAATTGTAAATGTCAATGATTGTAAAAATACTAGCGTAATTTTTCCTTACGCTGTACTTAGATTGATAAATATTGTTTTAATTTTTAAAACAATTATTCACAACATTTTAACTGTGGATTTGACATTCCTTTCCTTTCTTTCAAAATACTCCTTCAATAGAAGAATATTGAAAATCTGTCTAGTGGTTGTTTCAGAATATTTAGGCAAAAAGTCCCTTCAGGTTATAAGGTTATTTCATGTGTGTTTGATTCAGTTAAGGTTATTCAGATGAAAAGGTTTATTCATTCTGTGTACTGTAGTTAAATACAGCGTTGCATTTATATATTGTATCTCAAACTAAACTCACAAAGTTATTCACAGCTGTTCTTTTACCAGTTCCCACACAGAGTACACTGGATGCCACCGCGTGTAAACCTCATCTATCCCCGTGTCTTTTCAACCTGCTGGAAGATCCCTGCGAGAAACGGAACTTAGCTGCAGAGTTTCCGGAAACAGTAAACCAGCTGATGTCCATACTGCAGAGCTACCAACCTGTGGCACCAAATAACCGACCAGAAGATCCCCGCAGCTATCCGATCCATTGGAACAACACTTGGACAAACTGGCTTGACTTTTTGTGATGCGGAGAAATGTTAAAAATACATCACGCCAATATACGTTGAAATAACCATGCACTGAATAGGTTATGTTATATTTGCCTATTTGGTGTTGTTATAACACTGGTGGTATAACAGAGTGTGTATAAATGTATGATGAGTGAAGGATGAGCGTTTAAGAACGAAAGAGGCCCAGATGATTACACTTTTTATTCAAGATTCAATTTTTTATTTCAAAGACATTTGCAATTACATATCTGGGTCAGTATTTAACGATAAAAAAGAATTGCTTTTTTTCTGTTCATCATATATGAAAAGGGAACTTTGTTTTACAAAATCACTTTTCAGAGATCGGTTTCATGCGTGTGATATTTTATAAAAATGCCATTTTTGAGGGAAGGATTGTATATGAATTTGTATCAATTACAGTTACATTTTAGCGAATTTCCCATATAGGGAATAAGCTATTACCGTAGTACTCATGGTAAGACCTGGACCCGGGACCGATTTTTTTTTCGTTTTGAGGTCCCTAGAGGCCAAAAACACCATTCGTTCAAATTCATATATATATATATATATATATATATATTTATATATGTGTCCGTTAGCGCGATAACTCGAGCAAAAATGATCCGATTTTGATCAAATTTGGTACAAACGTGTAAACCTACGTTTATTCGAACGAGTTCGCGAACCAGCATGATCGGACCATGGGAACGGGGGTTTATGGGGGCTTTTATGGGGTAAAAGTGGGTTTTTCCCATTTTTCACCCAAAAAACATAAAATTTTGCAATTTCTTTCTAAACTATTTTGTAGAGCTTAAAAAAACAAATAATTTAGTATATTGAAGCGTTATAATGCGCCTATCGGTTACGGAGAAAATTCCAAAAAATTGTAAATTTAAAATTCCTATGTTATTCTTATGGAGAATAAGTAAACTGTTGTAGTTTGCTTGTTTATTAACATATTTTGCCCAAATTTGGAAAATGTTTTTATTTCTTACTAACTATTAACATTTTACATAAAAAAACAGTTTTACCCTCCCTGTTGCAGCAAACCTAAGTATGTGTTTTAACTCATTCTATTTAAATAGGGAATAAATGTGATATTTTTAAGGAGACATTTTAGTGTAAATCCAATCAGGCAAATGGAAATTCGCTTAGTCTGCAGGTTTGCTGCGGCGGGGGTATTATACTGTACATGAAACAAAAAAATAATATTGCTGCAATTTTGTGTAAGCTTTAAAATTATAAATTGTCTGCAATGTGTTAGTTATCAAGTATGTTTTCTGTGTAATGGACTGAACGTGATATCCCACCATTGAGTATAATAGTTCGTAGATTTTTGTTTAGTTACGTGTAGGCTGTGACTCCAAACATTGGCAAACCCCAATAAATGTATACCAAATAAATTAAATGGATAATTTTTCCTATCTTGTTAACGATTTCAACAGTGACATAAAAAATTGCCTTTTACTGCTACAAATTCAGGTGCATTATTATACTACTAGCACAACCCGTCTTGACTTTGCTCAAGACAATTTTGATTGAAAAGCTAAATGCTTTATCTGAAACTACAGATAAGGAAGTAACTACTAAGTTATTTCCTTGCCTGTGCTGATGCTAAACAATAAAAGAATATGAAAACGGTACCCGAGCCGACTATACCGTAGAGCTGTCTACTATCTACTGTCTGACACCATAAGATCATATGCTGCATTGTTATAATCTGTTTACATTACTTTGTTTAAACAGCTGTTCGCTCTCCACTAAGGGAATCTCCGTACCGGTATGACATCATCCAAACCGCTCAATTAACCTTAAATTCGTAATCTCTGTTTTTTTTTGTTGTGTTCATGATCCATGATATGTATGTAGTAAGCCTGTACCGAACGAACAGAATTAGAACTTTACTGTTAGAATTTTGTAAAAAAACACCACCTATTTTCTAACTTTCCTATGCGTAGCATCATTAGGCTATTAGACTACCAGATACCATTGCAAAAATTACAAGATTCCACGGGGGATGATAAGGTCCTGATGTCATTGGAAATCCTTTAGTCAACGACAACATAAGACCAGTGTTTTTGTAACTTTCCAAGGACCTTAACACCTTCATTTGCCAATCAGTGGAGGTTTATTGAGGAAACTCCTGTGTTCGTTTTGAGTTGGTTGCAAGAGTTGGACGATTTCCTCTCCTCCCTTCAAGTGGAGGAAAATAAGGAAATGCTTTGGCCTTCAGGGAGATAGCAATGTTTACGTTTAGGTCAGCTTTCCTAAGGAAATGTGAGTTATGGGAATTTTACTAGTTTATCTAGTATCTTACAAAACGCAACGACAACATCAGTTGAATGACTTGATGACATAAATACAGACTTGGAGATTTAAGTTGATTGCAAATATTACGGCGCCCCCAAAGCCTTCAAGCCTACCCATTTTTGATCATTGAGGGCACTAACATTGACTTTTAAACACAAGTTCTATTTATATTGACCAGCTCTTGCTAATTGAAAATAAACGGTATCAGCAATCTGACACATACTTTCTCCCATTAGCTTGTCAACAACCTTTATCATAGGTAAACAGTAGGAGTATGATAATTTATAAGGAAAATCACTAAAGTTGCATTAAATTTTGCAACGTAATTTTTAAATATTTGATAGGCCTATCATGAATGACTTAACATGGCTAAAGAAAGTCTTTTAGTATTTAGTAAAGACACAAAATTGTTTTCTGCTCAGCTTATTTTATCTATGCCTCCAGGTAATTTTGTGCATAATGCTCCCATGGATTTTTCCATTCCAAGGGCTTCATTATTAATTGATGGTGGATATTTGATTTTTTGGCTCAGTTGTACTTACGTTTGAAAGTGAATTTAAAAAACAAGAATAAATTATAGGCTACGTGTTTTATGTAATTTTTACCAGGCTTATTAAGGGGTAAGGGTATTTTACTAGGCATATATGACCGCATCTACCCAGATACCACTCACTAAACATGCCAAGCAACATGTAGTTACGGCCGACAAGCTAAGTAAACACAACGAGATTTCATAAATCATCTGTAACTACTATAGAAAAACAGGTCCACGTCGTAGGGAGTGCTGAAGGAATAAGTAAAGACGAGCAGTGTAGAGTTTGGGAATGGATTTTTGTATCTGCAATACTGAGACTGCTTTCAGAGTAAACTAAAGATTTTCCCCGAGCAAAGCTTGGTCCCCAGGTACTATCTGTTTATAGTGGAATCCGAACCACATTCTTGCCTTGGTATTAACGAATCGGTCTAATTATCAGGGTAGTACTGCGGATAGTCGTAGTACTCACTAGTGCGGACGTTAATCCACACCAGGGAGTATCGCATCCACAGTGCATCTCTATAAAAATGTCCACAATTCTTGACCTAATGGTAGCTGGATTACAGGACGACGCCACCGTCCCAGTCTTAGCAGGGCAAACCATTAAACACAATACTGCAAAAGCCTAATATGTATGGCCTGTCTGCAGTTAATTAAAAACAGGAAAATCAAGTCCAAATCTCTTATCACTTCCATCAGTCAGTGTTTGTGTCTTCCTAAATCTCTGCAGTTCCAGTTCCGTTATCACAAAAGTCACAACACTCAGCAACCAACCCACTTTACTACTTCACAATTCTTTTTCTACGGTCAAAACACCCATAAACAATTTTAGTAACAAAAATCAAATATATACTGATTCTTAGTGTAAATAAATCATTTTGATTGCATCAAATTCGAAATTCACAAGAACCAAATTAGGTGGATTGTTAATCATATATTCTATTGTAATATTATGGCCCCTCTAAATCTTTCGGAGGATTAATCCTGGACCAAATTAACTGTAAATTTGTCTACAAAGATACCGACCCAGGATTGCTATTGGCTAGTTACCATTTCAATATGGATATAGGATTATGTTATTCGGACTTTCAAATTTCCCAATTTAAGCTCGAGAAGATTAATTTACTATCGGTTTCTCTAAATGACGAGTCATAAACACAACAAACAATTAACAAAATGTTTACACATTCTGTTATTTGACTAGTTTCAGAAAGCATTTTCGTGTCAGGATGCCGATTAGAATCAAGCAGCAAGATTAATTTTTTAGATAATTTGTATGGTTATCTCAACACCCACGTAGATTTTGGGTCCTTCTACAGTGTAGAAAATAGTTATTTGTGTAACTAGTGAGCAAGGTGGCACTTTGCTGCACACGAGAGCAACGTTTACAACGGAATGATCTCGAGTGCAGCAAAGGCCTTTTGCACTCGTGTTACACATTATATTTTTCCTACAGTCACTATAAAGCATATAAATAATCAGTCTTTCAAACACTATACAACACGTTAACGTTAACGTTATGAACACGTTTTTAGGTTCAGCTGGCAACACAAATAGGTGCCCTAGAGAAAGTAGTCCCCGGTCCGTATCACTACGCTATTTTTTCCTCAGCAAGCAATGTGCTCCGCGACTTGAGAAAATAGTTATATTTTTGTAATTTGCAGTGGTTTCCATGCCTAAAAAATGCTTTAAAGGTATTTTCTTGTTTATTAAGATCGTAGGAATGTTTTAAAAACGTTTAAAAGTAAAGTCCAGAGAGTTTAGAAATGCCGAAAAGAGAAAATAAACTATAAACACGAAATGACAGGTTAAATCGTAGTTATAATAGTCAATCAGCTGCTCATAGTATTATCTTTTAGTGTTGCCAACCTATTTCCAAAGCGTACACGGATTACGTGCATAATAGAACCACGCTGTTTTGTGTTGTCTCGTTGGAATCCTGATGTGCGCCAAAGTATAAACCGTACGACAAAGTATATGCAGCAATTAGCAGCTTTCTGTACTATAAACAGTACAAGGAAGCCAACTTTGTCGGATGACTGTAGGAAAACATTATTCTCTTTTGCATTCACACCCATTTTTGTAAAGGATGGGCAAATCGATCCGTACGTGTGTCACATCGTCTTTCCATAAGGGAAACTGGGACGGGTGGCGTCGTCCTGTAATCCAGCTACTAGGAGGTCACGAATTGTGGATATTTATAGGCATGCACTGTGGATAGAATGCTCCCTGGTGTGGATTAAACGTCCGCACTAGTAAGTACTAAAACTTTCCGCGGTAATATCCTGATAATTAGACCAATTCTTGCCATGGGCTATTAATTAACAGTGTCTAAGGAATATGCCGGCCTTAGTCACTAACAAGACTACAAGATCGCGCCACTCATCCTTCACTAATATTTGGGTTAAAATAAGCACATAGTGGCGTCCCCATCTTAAATAATTGATTGGAAAAAACTACATTTTAACTTAAACTGCAAACAAAGATGTCTACCTACTTTTCGTGTCACAGATGATTTTGATCTTACAAATTAGATTAAATTCCTACATAAAAAAATGATTCATCGTACAAAAATCTACTATTCCACGATGACGCGGGGGTTGATTGTCTTAGGTATTCTGGCCTACATTAGGGTATCTCACACTATCTCACTCTTAAGCGGTCAACACTAGTAATTGTTTACGAGTCAATAACTTCTACACTCAGATATTCAGCTGGTGTAGTTTGTGTATTTTCTTCCAAAAACAACGTAAATCGTTAGGTAACTGATTTGGAAATGTTTTAGCGTAATCTGTTTGGATTCAACACACAAACAATTTCTTCGTAAGCAGCGGAAAATCCTAGATTAACCATTCAAGGCCGAAGATTATTTATTGCTGTTCACAATTCAATTCTGTGAAATTCAAAACAAATAATAAAGATTAATGGGTTTAAACGGTTGGTTCAGAACAATGCTTCCGTATAACGCTTTTATTAGTTTCTGGGCCATTCTAAATATAAATATTCCATCAGGACCTACAAAGTTATTGATTTTCAGAGAAATAACTATTATTTAACATATTCCCAAATATCTTATCGAGCTTAAGTCTGAACATTCGAACCCATTTGAATAACAGTAAACGTCTCCGTATGTTTGTATTTTGCAAGGCATTGGCAAAATTCTTAAACCTGTCTTCTCATCGTGCTTAACATCTGTATAAAACAAATACAGCACAACAGTACATTAATTTTTTAAATTATGTTTACACAGAACAATTGGTTTTGGATACTTAATTGTATCTTACTAATATTATAAATCTGAAAGTTTGTGAGTTTGTGTGTATGTTTGTGTGTATGTTTGTGTGTGTGTTTGTTGCTCAATCACACATAAACTACTGGACGGATTGGGCTGAAATTTGGCATGATGATAGCTCACATTCCCGATTAACATTAAAGCATATTCTTATCTCAAAAACCCTTTCGGGCTCCGCCCCAGTGGCTCTGTAGTTCCCCATGTTAATCTTATGATTTTTCATATTTAAAAGGAATTAATGAATCTTAACAGCTGTTTCAATTAAATAAGTTGGTTCTGTTCTATGATGTGCAATAGCATAAAAGTTACAAGGATTACCAAGAGGGTGCAGCACTATTAATTTTTTTTAAAATTTATGACAACAGCTAATTTCCAACCAAAAGGTGAGTGAGCGTAGCGAACGAACTTCAACCTGGAGGCGAGTTAGCGTAGCGAACGAGCTAACCTGAAGGCAAGTGAGCGCAGCGAACGAGCTCCAACCTAAAGGTGAGTGAGCGTAGCGAACGAACATCAACCAGGACGTGAATGAGCCATGCGAATACTTATGAAGTTAAACGGGGCGAAGCCCGCGGGTACAGCTAGTTTACGATAAAAGGCTCTCAAACTCAAATTTGTGACATTATTTAAATGTTTTATGAATTTGTTTATCAGCAATCTACTAATAAAGCATAAAGATTTTAAATTATACGAAAAGTATGTTTGTTGTACATGTACATATACATATAATGTGTACTTAATTACTTTTCAATTAAATGGCGACCATACAAAGTAGGTATTTTAAGCCAAGTATGAATGGAGATGAGTGTAGGATGAGTGGCACGATCTTGTTGTCTTGTTAGTGACTAAGGCCTACTTATTCCTTAGACACAGCTGTTAAGTAATAGCCGTACGGCTAATGGCAACTAAGGGACCTACAGTTTATAGGGGAATCCGAACCACATTTTTGCCTTGGTATATACGAATTGGTCTAATTTTCAGGATAGTACTGCAGATAGTCGTAGTACTCACTCGTAGGGAGTATCGCATCCACAGTGCATGCCTATAAATAACCACAATTCGTAACCTCCTAGTAGCTGGATTACAGGACGACGCCACCTGTCCTAGAATTACTGTACTCAAGTGTCGAGTTGTAAGATCATTGCAAATAATGCTAATACTCAATCATTGTCAATGGCTTTGCAACGGACCGCCAAAGTGAATAATCAATTATGTTCCATGGATATGTTTTATGAAAAATTATTAACTCACAAATAAATTACCACAATTTTGATAAAATACCAACTAAATCATTTTCAACCCCATGGAGTGTATCACTTATACAATTATAATATTAGCTGTATTCATAAAAATAACATAGCAACTTTGGAAGCCGTCAAGGCAGAGCCCAGGAGACAGGAGAGTATTAAAATTAAAATTAAAAAATACTTTTTCTAATACTAATTAAAAAATTACTTTTAGCCCTGTGGTATATTGATAGAAAACCATCATCTCTATTGGTCAAGTAGTTTAAATACGTGATTGACATATCCTAAACTTTCATTAAGCTGTATTAACTTTAATTTTAAATTCAACATACAAACATAATACATTTAACAACTTTTTGAAAAAATCATTAAGTTGATTTTGAATTTTGAAAACACCCTATATGCACAATATCAATATGAAATTTGAAACATAAACATAGATGTAAACAATCCTACTTTGACGTTATCGTTTTGAGTCTGTCATGATTTTTTATTCCTTTAAAATACGAATGTCCAGTGTAAACTTGGGGGATTTAAGAACCACAGGGGCGGAGCACGAAATGATTATTGGGTTAAGAATAAGCTTATTATGTTATCTGGGGATATGAGTTATTAATGTAGTAAATCACCGTTACTTTTCAACCCGTGGTCAAATTGTTGGGTATAGTTATGTTTAATCTATGGTATAGTGTATCCATACACATGATTTCTGATGAGATAGTGTTTCCTAGCAAGCACTTAATCCATCAGAAAATATTGACTCCAACGCCAATCAAGAATGACAGAAACAGTCATTCTTAAGCACGGGTCACACTAGGCGGCATCAGCGGCGAATTGAAAGAAGCCGTTGGTTAAGATTTTAATCCTCAAATGAGTATACAGCATAGCTCTAGCTAAACTTAATTACTGTGAATTACATTTAATGTATTTCAGATTCCAGCAATGATTAAAGAACCATAATAAATACAACCAAGCTTCAAGCATGTTTGTATGAGATGCTGTAGTAAGTAGCTTGAAGATTAACCGGAACACTTTTAATTTAGTTACAAAAAGATGGTTCACACTTTCTGTTTGGTCCAGTAACAGGGTGGATTCCAATAGGCTCCAAAGTTATTTTAAGCCAGTTTGTGATAGATTAGGCAAAACAGAGAGCTTAATATGACGTTTATACGAAACGGTCATTCCCTGGTGCACACATATATGGGATAACTCTGCCCGTTTGTCTACTAGGATGCTACAAATTCTTAGACCTTTGATTAATTTAATTAGTTGTAAACAAAGGATTAGTTACTGCCATTGAGTGTGACTCGGTAGTTCGTGTTCCTAATGGGTGAATAATTTTCTAAAAGGACTCATCCTCAAGATTAGTAATTAATTAAATATTCGTGAACACGTTCTTCAGCAAATACTGACTCCTGCAGATCATTCTTCTTCGCTTGACTTATCGTTTGTGCTCCTATGTCGAGGTCGAGTATAATTTTAAAACAATAAATTGAACAAAATCAAACTAAAACTAAATTTTTTAGGGTTGATCTTAGACGAGAGGCCTAGTTTCTGCAGCCATGTCAAACACATTTCAAGTAAACTCAGTTCTGGGACTTTTGTTTTACGCAATCTCAGAAACAATAAAAATCTAGATGTGCTGCTAACCGCTTATTATGGGCTCATTTATCCCCATCTAGCATAAGCTGTTGCAATTTGTTGATTTGAGAACAAACAAACCAAATTTGTTTTTCAAAATCAAAATGATGGCTTTGAGAACTATTTTCTCTTTGCGTAAGTGTCAGTCCTTCAGAGTACTTTTTCAATTCAAAAATCTTGACTATTCGCTCCATCTATATTCTAGAATTGTTGACCTTTTTGAAACAAAACTTTCTGATTTTGACTTCCCTACTAAAAGTCAATACACACTGCTTAATTCATTTGACTTGTCAATTCCTAAACACAAAACATCCTTTAAAAAAACACACACATTGTACATTGGCATAAAGCTGTTTAACTCACTTCCATTATCCCTTAAGAACCAAGCCTTAAAAAAATAGTTAAAACATAAATTGCTAAATATAACATGTTACAGCGTCCAAGAATCCCTTAAGTGTTTTGAAAGCTCTAATGTGTAATTATAAATATTAGAATTAGTAATTGCTGTATAGTATTTTGTACTGTTGTGACCAGGCTAATGCATACTGTGGCCCAATATTATTTGATTTGTAAACCTCCCAAGAACCTACCTTTAAAGACGTCTTCCACCCTGACCCACGACAACAATAAGGTAGGATGGGTGGATGGAAGGATGCGCGAATCGTTAGGGATATCTGCAAGTCAGTGATATCAGAGGAGGTATATAAACTGAGTCTGCCATCCTACCTGCTCAGTCCGCACTCTGTGCTTTTGGAATACAGTTGACAGGTAAATGTACTTACTTTACTTACTTATCTCAATTTATATTTATATTCTGTATGACAAAACGTGTATACGATACCGAAATAAACAAATGAATAAGTAAATTATAATAAAAATCTGTTATGAAATAAATACATTTTATCCACAGTTAATTTACAAAAAGTTGTTAATTTATAGGTTGCCACTGAAACTACATACCTTAATATTAGTTGATTTGATCAATGTAGCGAAAATTAGGTAGAATATAACGTTAATTCCGGGTTCATTTTTATAATAAAATGTGAATATAATAAATATTTAATCGGTTTGGGTAATTTTGATTTAGCATTGTTAATAGTATCCACTAAAAATATCTTAATTTAAGATATGATTTAGTTACTTTTCATCAATAAATTAAAACTTTATTCTGATTAAGATGTTATAGTACACATAGTATGTATGCTATACAAAGTCAAGTTTAGTGTATTCTAAAGGAAAGAAAAATTAATGTTCAATGTCAAGTTTTGTGTTAGCCTAATAGCCTATTTTTGATTATTAACTGAGTCTTTCAAACTTATTTTAAAGTTGAGAGTCATATTATATGGTCGATTAAACGTTGTATGGAGATGGTTTTATATTTTTATAAAATTTTACCGTTAAAAGTATAGTAGTAATCATTTTCTTTTAATTTTCATGATTTAATTGGTAAAAAATGCCGAATATAATTTCCCAGTTTAAATATTTAAATATACAACGCGTCATGCAGTTATAAAACTTTCGAACTAATTTATTTTAAACTTTTTAATCTGCACTTTCTTCCTATATATTATTTTTAGGTTCAGCTTTAGAATGTTTTTAGGCGTTATATCTCGACGTTTAAAACATTTAAAATTTTATTTTATTTAATGCCATGTTCTTTTGTCCATTGAAAGGATATTGTTTATCTACATATTAATAGGCAAGCATGTTTCGTTAAATCTTTTTCTCTCAGCTTGTGTACATCGCAGGAAAAAAAGAATGCATATTGTTCAAAAGATATTTTCCTGTAGATCTGCAGAATCCCTTTATAAATTAAAATAGTCTCAAAAATAGGCACACAAAATGAATTTAAAATGTTGAAAAATTAACATGGGTCTTATGGGTTGCCAAGCTGGTGACGAAATAACAATAAACACAAAATCAAAACAAATGGAAGAAATTCCAATCACATGTTTTATTTACAGTGTGGGATGAAAATAGAGTAGTCTGTACATTACATATTTTCGGTAGAGTTTTCGACCACTGGATGACCTCTAGTTAATATTATTATAAAATTGTGACATGTGTAAAATGTCTATAGATTGGCAAGTATTAAATTGTATATATTCTTGGTCCATTGACATAATTAATCTTTCTCAAAACTTAGTGCACAATTTATTGTTTGAAATCGACGACAAATAACTAAGAGCTCCATTTAACTCTGTTACACATTAGTATATACTGTACTACGCTGTATTGCATACTTACAGAACCATTAGAATACTAAATAATCAAATTTAAATAAACCCTCTCTTAAACTCATAACCTACTCACTCCATGATAGCATCTTTCCTCCAAACCTCCATGAAGTGCAAAATATTAAAAAGTGACGGAGGCAATCGTAATCATTGTTATTGCAAAGTACCAAAACCGAAGAAAATGTCATAGTTTTAAATGGTAAATCTTCGATTTCATTTTACAAGACGTTTTAATTTTATAAAGTATGTGCGTTTCAATATCAATATATAATGGTCATAAAATGTTGAAATTGTTTTTAAAACATAAATTAAATTAAATAGTTAAAAAATAATATTATATTTGTTGTCCTTAATTGAATAAGTAGGCCTAAGAAAATTATTTCAATTAAACAACATCGACCAAGATTTAGAATTTCGTATGAATCTTTGTAAATTCAAATAACTCAAGTAATTTTGATGGGGATAAGTATTTCCAGATGAAAATACAGCATATACAGTCAGTCTGGCTATGGATAGTAGTATTAATTATCGTGAATAAGAAAACAAAACAAATACAACAAGTCTCATCTCTGTGTGAGATTACTGTTCTTAGCAGTTATTTACTATCCGTTGGCAGAAAAAACAACGACACAACAGCTTAGACATTTTGTTTGTAAATGTTGAGACACAGTTTCTCATAAGTATTCAACGAAGTTTCATCATTTATGGAATAGAAACGTGAGAAACAATCGTCGGTCATGTGTTCGTCGACGAGGAGTTATTGTACCGAGTGGTCACGGCCACCCGTCCTTCCGGTCGATGAATATTCAAATTTTATTTCAATTCACTTGAAATTATTTGCATCTTAGCTTTGTCTAGAACCGAATCGAAAATTTCCAGTCTTCAATGATTGGTTGACGATTTTGTTAGATTACTGTTGCGGTTTGGTTATATTACACAATTTCAGGTAATTTGATTGTGTAAGACTGTGTAGTTAAATTAGTAATCTTAAATCAAATTAAGTAACGTTTTTTAAGGCTCTTGTGTGTTTTATCGCGCCACTCATCCTACACTCATCTCCATTCATACTTGGCTTAAAATGCTTACTTTGTATGGTCGCAATTTCTGAAAAGTATTAAGCGTTTCAAACTAAGTTGGTGATTTAAAAAAATATATAAGTAAGTAAAGATATATCAAACACAAACACGTTGACTTAAAAAAAGATAATTTTTATTTACACGTTTATTTCATTACGTATTCACTACGATTATGCTGATCAATGTAGATGTGTACTTATGGATTAGTGTTATACGTAAAAGTGAATTTTCAATGAGTTAAATCCGAAACGAGTCTTATCTAACTTTATCTGTCTGTGTGTTGTAGTTAAGTCCAAACTCATATGGCATCACCAGAGTATAGAAAGGCTGTGGTTACCATAGGTTCTGGCGCACACCGCTCGGAGCCTCAGTTATTTTGGAGCGCGTGGCCGTAACTAAATGTTGCTCCCAGCGGTGTGCGCCAGAACCTATGGTAACCGCAGCACAGCTGACTGTGTATATTTAATTCTTTTTGTCTATGATCAAACACGTCACAAAACTGAGGGTTATGTTTATGTTTACAAAAACATAAACATAAACATAACCAGTTTTGTGATGTGTCTATGCCAGCCAGCATAGCTGTAAAGCTCTCATGAAAATAAAAATTCAAAAATATTGGTGAAGTTTTTATTTTTAAACATATCGAAATTGAACAATTGTAAAATAGACAGTTTTCGTAATACATCGCCTCTGTTCTGTATAGTTTTCACATACCTACTACAAGTAGGCTACTAAGTTAACATTTTGACGTGAACTGTACGAAATATTTATGTTTTCATTCAACAGCAAAATACTGACAAACTTCCCAACGCTTTTGTAAACTAAATAAATCACTGATACGACGACTTCCAGAAATCTTATTAAACCGATCGTTGGCTGTGATATCTTTAATCCTAGATTGTTGTTTGTTTTCATCATTTTGTCGTTATCTAATTGACGCTTATCATTTTTGTATTTTCAGCGAAGAATTTAATCATCTAACGATTCTAAATTTCTGTTTTGGGATAGGAAATATATAAGTAAACAATAACAAATTACGTCAAAGGTACAGTAGCTAGTTAAAATGCTATTGTGTGCATAGTAAATATAGCTAATATAAATATAGGTTATATATATATACATATATAACCTATACATAAATATAGCTGACGTAATTTACCGAGTCACTATTGAATAAAGTGAGACTTTTACAATACGCCTTGAAAAGTTTATTATTACCACAACAATTGTGCATTACAATTCGTTTGCACACAAATTTATTAGTTCTTGTACCTTGACATAAAAATTACAATGAATTTAATTTATTTCTATTTAGTTACGATACAACACCTGGAGTCGTTTCTCGATCTGTAAAAGATCATTAGTCTATTTTTTATATATTTTTTAAGTGGTTGGCGACCTCTTTTAACCTTGCATTTGCCCGTCCACATAGACTACAGATCTATGCGTGGAACGTATCCAGCAAAGCAAGGGGTGAGCCGGTACAGTACGAAATTGAATAATGTGAAAAGACAACAATTCATATAGCAATGAATTTGAAAAAACTAGGCCCCGTTATAGATATATTTTTCATGATTAAAAAGAGGTAATCACGGTAAAGTAAAAATGGCATTCAGCGCTCATTACCCTCTGAATATAAGCAGCAAAACTGAGATAAAGTACGGATGTGTAGGCCGACTTAATACTTAACCTAACATTATATTATTCTCCCCCTCAAATTTATTCTATTAGAGCCCCAAATGCAATACATTCCATTGTAAAATCTGAAATATTTTTTATGTGTTTTTAATGTTGGTTTGGGTGCATTGGTATTGACTAAACTAACTTTACCCACGACCGTTTTTTAAACTAGCCGTTTCAGTTCAGTTCTAAGAATCGAAAAGTTTCACATAACAACATTATTTACTTTCAACACAGCATAGTTTTACTCATAACAACACGGGGGTAACGGGCCAATGATGTTCAAGGATTGAGAGAGAAGAAGTAAAATTATAATGAATCGAACTTCAACTAATCAGCTGTTCGTGTCAATTTAATTATTGAGTTTGAGAGTTGCGATTAGTGTTGAAAAAAAAACTTATTAGTGTTAAAAAAAACTTTCGTAGATAAAGTAGTGTACAATTTTAATAGCTATTTACCTTACAAGTGTAGTAAGAGCGTTTTTACATCACGCATGTGAATGTTGTGCAACGAGCGGAAACGAGTTGCATAATTCACCTAAGTGATGTAGCCTAAACAAGCTCTTGCGTAACGTTTAACGTACAATATTTTTCAATATCCATTTCACTCATCTTCTAACAGTAGTTCTTTGCGCGGAGAGAGGAACGCGGAGAGCAAATAAATACCACTAATAAATAAATTACCACTTGTCTTAGGTAATTTAATGTTACTGTTTTCCTAGAAGGAGAGCGGAACACCATGTTAATCTCTTTTCCGCTCTCTGCGTTCCTCTCTCCGCTCTCCGCTTCCGCACCTAGGAAAACCCAGCTTTAGGAAAATACTAAGCATAACAATAAAAATCAAGCGCACAGCTGATTTCTAGCGTTGAACGTCATTGGCTCCATAGAGGTATATTTTTTTTAAGTTTTTTTAAGCACTCAATGTTATTTTACCTAACCCACCATGTTAAACTTCCCTATCCCAAGCGTGATGTATACAACTTTTTTCCTTCACGAGTGATGTAAAGTTGAAAAAACTCCCTCGGTGAGGTAATGAAACCCATTTAAATAACATCGAGTGCTTAACTTAAAAAAAATATACCTCTATTGAGCTAACGTTTAACGCTAGAAATCAGCTGTGCGCTTGAATTTTATTGTTATGCTTTGAAGAATTTTCCTAACCTAGCTTTTGTTTGTAAATGAAGGAGCTTGTTTACATTACTTAGGAGAATTATGCAACTCGCTTCCGCTCGTTGCACAACATCCACCTGTGTGATGTAAAAACGCTCTTACTACACTTGTAATGTAAATAGCTATAAATGGGTTTCATTACTTCAGTGAGTTTTTGAAACTTTACTTCACTCGTGAACTAAAGAAGTTGTATACATCACGCTTGGGAGAGGGAAGTTTAACATGGCGGGTTAGGTAAATAGTCTTAACGACATTCGCCAAGGCTCGTACCTTAAATTACGTGTCGTTAACACTATCTTTACGCGATATCGTTGAGTAAACTACTAGGCCTATTTTATTTTAATATGCACTTAGGGTTTATTTGGTTAGAAAAGTATTAGTAGGTTTTTGTAAGACGTTTAGAACTGTAACCATGTAACTACCCAGCTAAGTGATTCGAGTTCTCTCAGTCACATTTCCAAACATGATTTATCTTTTTTGTTAGTTGATCAACAAAAGTTGAAACAGTTTTAGTGATTTTCAGTTGACATTTCAGAAAGTACAAACAAAAAATCTAGTCAAACAAACTTGTAACTCTCCTTCTTCTAATCTTGGCTGTCGATTGGTTGTTGCAGAATGGAGTCCATAGTAGCCTCCGCCTCCGAGGAGGTGCCTGTGGTGTCTTCCACAGCCATGTTCTTCTACCTCCTCATCCCCACATTGATGCTGTGGTATGTCTACCACCGTATCAGCAACAGGCACATGTACGAGTTGGGTAACAAGATCCCAGGTCCTCCTGCATTGCCGGTGTTCGGCAACGCACTTGAGTTCATCGGAGCCTCCAACCACAGTAAGCACGGTTCATAACAATAAACAATATGACGATTTATTATATTGAAAAAAATTTAGTTTTTGGAAAGTACATGGAGTAATTAACTTTAAAAAAATTATTTTTGTTTAATAAGTTAAAAGTAAATTGCTAGAGGCCAGTAGCTGATCAAAAAAGTTCTCATTAAACTTCAATTAAATGACACTGTCAGATTTGCAACAATGTAAACAGATCAGGGTCTAACTCTTGTGTTATGTTAAAGCTGAGAAGCTTAAGATGGTGTTATACAATCAACCATTTATCTTCATTACGATTCTCTGTAATTTGAGCTAAACAAAAGAATTTATAGGATTCTGAAGTCACTGCATGTTATTCATGTTGAATATGGCACTTAAGTTTCAGCGAATATAATTTAACATTTACAGAAAATAATTGTTTCGTGTCTACCTATTTTAGGGGTGTTCCAGAAACTTTACTCAAGGAGTTTTGAATACGAAAGCATCGCTAGGTTGTGGGTTGGTCCCAGGCTCTTCGTCTTCCTTACAGACCCTCGTGATATTGAGGTAAGCCATTTTGTATTTAAGTATTTTTCACAAGGATACATCCAAGTATTAAAAGTGCTTCGTCACAGTTTTGTATTTAGACTAGAGATCAAAAATTGGTTTTAGCAATGACCTTGATAGTCTGGACATGAAAACCAATGAAATGAAATAAATGAAAACAATGAACCTTAAAAAAGGTTTGTCCTACAGTAACCTGTCAAAGTGGGCTTCCTTGCACTGATTATAGTACCCAATGTAGCTAATTGCTGCATTTACTTAGTTTTGCGCCACTCATTTTACTTTTGTCGCACTCCAATATTCCAATCAAACAACACAAAACAGCATGCTTTTATTAGGCACATAATACGTGTACGCTTGAAAATAAGTTGGCAAGATACTTTGACTACGATCAGCTGGTGCAGCGTTTCCCATTTTGTTCAACACTTGGATTTAACATAATCCAAAAACGTGTTGTATAGTGTTTGATAGACTAATTATTTATATGCTTTGTAGTAACTGTAGAAAAAATATAATGTGTAACGTGAGTGTAACTTTACACTCACGTTACACATTATATTTTTTCGGCACTTGCCTTTGCAGCACTTGAGAAACTTTCCACACTCACCTACGGCTCGTGCGCAACCGTTTCATTCATGCGCAGCAAAGTGCCACTTTGCAAACTAGTTACACAAATAACTATTAATTTCCTCCCAGGCAGATGACATTTCTCAAAATTTGATCCACAGCTGATCCTTGGAAGCACTGTCCACATCGACAAGAGTGTCGAGTACAAATTCTTCAAGCCCTGGCTTGGAAACGGACTTCTCATCTCCACAGGGGAGAAATGGAGAGCCCATCGTAAGCTGATTGCCCCGACCTTTCACTTGAACGTGCTCAAGTCCTTCCTGGACCTTTTTAACACCAACAGCCGAGACGTTGTCCAGAAACTTAGAGACCTCAACGGCAAGGAGTTTGACTGCCACGACTATATGAGCGAGTGTACTGTTGAGATCTTGTTAGGTAAGTTTTCTTCAGGACCTTTTATGTTTGTTTTAAGTCAGCACCATTTTGCATTTAAAATATTAAAACTTTTAGGAGAAAACAATGGTCTAACCCGTTTCATAAGCTAGTGAGCAATATTGTTGAAATTAATCTTGTAACTCTGGGCTTCTCCTATCAAACTGCTTGGTTAAGGCCAAACCTCAATATTCAAGTTGAAATGTTCTTAATCTACCTTAAGAAATTTTTAAATATTTAACCATGATTGTAGCTTCTGATTAATTTGTTGTACATCTGCAGTCAATAACCATACCAATAATTAACATCACAACTAGTTTGTCTTCAAACTAACGACTCCACTCCACCTGCACCAGTAAATTACTGTCCATTCATGTATTCATACTTTGTTGTTTAAAATATTTGGTTACTTTGATTTTGTGTGTGTATATACATAATTTACTTAACATTTTCAATTGATTACAGAAACTGCTATGGGAGTCAGCAAGAAAACACAAGACAAGAGTGGATTTGAGTACGCTATGGCTGTGATGAAGTAAGGGTAACAAACTCATACATGGTTTAGGATTGTAATTACTTGCTGTATGTACAATATTACAAAATTTTAAATTGATTCCAATCCAACCCATAGTAGTTTCATCACACAAATCTACATTTTAACATAAAAATTGAACTTGATTCAAGATCGTGAACTTCTAACTGATAGACTATTTTTTACTGAGGTTTGCTCTTTTAGTGTAATTTTTATTAAATGTACTACCTGTACTGTATCCCAACATTAATCTCAGATATACAAATTTAGGGAAATAATTACCTAAGTACCTAATTTATTTACACAACCTTTTACATACCGTATTTGAGAAAATCTGCATGTAAAATTCTATTCAACATCTTAATAATATAATTCGTCTAAAAATTGGAGGTACAATATCAGTTCACAACACCTTATTTATGAAAGGAGATAAACATATTCCATCACTTAATGTTTGAATCTTTTATAGGATGTGTAATATCCTGCATTTGAGGCAGACCAAGGTATGGTTGAGACCAGAATTCCTATTCCAGCTGACAAAATACGGAAAAGACCAAGTTCAACTGCTTGACACCATCCACAGCTTGACAAAGAAGGTAAATAACATTTTACCTGTTATATTATGTATCTGAAGTCAATTAAAACTTCAAGGTTTGAAATATTTTGATTATTTACAAATAATTATTACATTATAATACGTTAAATTAAAACAAGTAAGCGTTTTGAAAATTGGAATCATGCACAATAAGTTTGGAATACAGTTAACGTGCATAGTTATACTTTTCTGCTATGAAAATTGTGACATTACTTAAATTAACTTTGGTAAATCTAAATGTAAGGTTACAATATTTGTTAACAATAATTAGCATTTGTTTGCAATGTTGTGTTTTAGATAAAAATAGCTCATTTCTTCTCTCAATCCCTTATATCTATTGAGCTCAAATCTAATTCTCACAAATTAAAATAAAGTGAATAAATTAATGCATATACAAAATAGTGTTATTGTCATGTATTTCTTTAGGTATTGAAGAGGAAGAAGGAAGAACATTTGAACACTAAGAAGTCCATTCTAGAAAAATCTTCCTTGGAAAAATTGATAGCACAAGATGAAGAGAAGTTAAAAGAGGCTAAACAGAAAGCATCCAAGGCCCCCAGCGAAGCTAAGTTCTCTTTTGGACAGGCTGCAGGGCTCAAGGATGATCTTGATGTTGATGACAATGATGTTGGTAAGTTGAAAAAGATCAAAAGAATAGTAATTTTTATCTTTTTATAACTTCAATTTCATTCAAACTAGTTAGTGTTTCTTTCAATTCAGCAATTTTGGAAGAAATTCAATTTGGAAAATCAATCCACCTTTATAACACTAATCACAATTAGGTTTAAACCAACTTGTAAACTTTTTATGTAATATTATACTTTGTTCTACAACAGACTACAATGTGTAGTAAGATGTCAATTGTTTAAATAAATTTGAATTTATATAACAGTAGAACATTTTACAAGACATTGAACACCCGTAAAAAAAAACTGTGCTAGTAAAAAAAAGAAGAATCCTTTTTGTCCATAGGGAGTAAAAGTCAGCTTTTGTAAACAAATAACAGTTGTAAACATTGATTGTCAGCAATCCCATGTTTCGGAATCATTTATCGATTTATTTAATTGATTGTAACCTATTAAAATTTTTGCATTCTTGTCAATAGTTCGACTGGTTCAACATATCAATAGTAAGTTGTAATGTACACTAATACAATGGTAATGGAATAAATATTGAATCACTTACCGGTACTTAACAGCTGCTTATTTGCATTAACAAAATTTAAAACATGTTGGGAGTCGTTTGAAAAATAATCTTTACATGAAAAGAATTTAAATTTTTTAACATATTTTGTCAATAAATGTTTCAATACGACGAAAAATATAGTTCATCGTTCGGACAAAAAGTATTTTTTCAATCAGCCCTTGCTTATTATTCCAAATATTATAGGCATATAACAACCTCGGCTTCGCCTCAACTGTAAAACTTGAGCTCGGTTCAAAAAGAGCCTCTTTACGCCCTAGAGATAAAAATAACTACATAAAACTTCCTTGCAAATTTAAATTTTTGGTCAATGTTCTAAAAGGGATTACAAAATTGTGAATTTCAACTTCTTAGGTGAGAAGAAGCGCTCCGCATTCCTGGATTTCATGATTGAATGTGCCCAAAATGGAGTAGTACTCACTGACGACGAAATTAAGGAACAAGTAGACACCATCATGTTTGAGGTATTTTGTTCTTATATAGTGTGGCTAGTCGTAAGTTTATAATTAAAAATGTTTTAAACTATACAATACATAAGACAATAGATACTCACTTGACTTGCATGTGTAGATGCAAGAGTGGGAGGAAAATCTTATGTAGAACAGTGTATTAATAATACACAATCAAACATTCAGTTCCTTTATTTGATTCCCTGTAAATTATCTAGGAATCTCTAATTTTTAATAGTACAAAGTACCCTCATAACACGGAATTAAATGAATCGGTTTTGAGAATTTGACATTTTATAATGGGAAAGGTATATTTATGTTTTTATATAATATTTTTTGCCCCTTCCTAAATTTCCAAAGGAATAAATAAAATTAATAACAGTTGTAATTTTTCTACAATCACAGCAGTTTCATAATCAGTATTACCAACATGAAACCTATCTCAAACACTCATTTCCTCTCATAGGTCAGTTATTCATCATTTTACTGACAGAATTTCAAAGTTTTCTCCCAACAGTGATGGCTTAAAAAATGAATCTTTTCTAAAAATTATTACCAGAAAGTATATTTTTGTGTTTAACTACTGCAAAATTTCACATAATTCACTTCAAATGTTTTTGTTTCATTTAAATGACATTATTTTATTTCCAGGGACATGACACAACTGCGGCAGGAAGCAGTTTCTTCCTGTGTGTCATGGCTGCTAGACCTGACATCCAGGTAAAGTTTTATTAAAAATTAATTTTTTACGTTATAAGAAAGAATCTGCTATATTTTATAAGGTTATAAAGTGTAAGTTACTCGTTGAAATTAGAACAATACACAATGTTCATTTCTGGTCTGTAGATTTTCACAATTATTTTTTAAATTCACGTCCCACATATTACTGTACCCATATTACTGTGTGTTAGTAAAGACAGCTAAAAAAAAACATGAAAAACACTTCTACTTTGGTTTTGACTCACACAATAGCAAAATCTGGCTTATACTATCTAACGTAAAACCTTCTCTTCACAATTTGCTTACTCTGGTGTATCTTACAGGACAAAGTCATCCAAGAGATCGACGAGATCTTCGGTGACTCAGACAGACCGTGCAGTTTCCAGGACACACTGGAGATGAAGTACTTGGAACGTTGCATCATGGAGACTCTCCGCATGTTCCCGCCTGTGCCAGTCATCGCACGAGAGATCATGCAGGATCTGCCACTGGGTAACAGCCTTGCTATTTCCTTGTTGAAAAAGTTTTTCTTTATTCCCCCCCCCCCCCATTAAGGCCCCATAGGCCGCCGACTCTACTGGTACAACCGACACAGAGTATGACATGTTTATATTTACATTATGTATACAACTTTATGGTAAATACATTGTGGTACTACACACGCTAAGTTTTTTTTACAACAGCCTAGTAAAGAAAAAATCAATTAAATGCTACTACAAATAGTTGTTTAAAAAAAATTGTGTTGAAATTTCCAGATTGAGTATATGAAACCATTGACTATATAAACACTTCAATGATGAAACTCACACTTACACTTTGTATGGTGGAGTCAAAAAGAGAAAGATAAGATTTACTCTGAGTATAACAAATTAATGTAAAAATGTCAAAATGTCAAAAAAGTCATTACATGTTACACAATAAGATACATTAGACCCAAAACCTGTTTAAACTTGGGTAAAAAGTTTTTAACTACCTTCAGTATTATGGTTGATTGAACTTTTCTGGCCGCCAAAGCCCAAAAAGAAGAGTAAGTAAGAATAGAGAGCAATCATTCATTTATCTTTATAATACATTCAAGAACAGCAAAGATTCCCCTCATTCAGTATTTAATAATACTAAAAGCTGGAAAATTGAGACTCTACTATATTTGTATAGTTTACTATATAAAATACCACAGTTAGTTGCTCAATGATACATAGTAGACTAACGGATTAAGTTATAAAACAAAGCTATTTTAAAACTCAAATAGGTAGGCCTACCGGTAGACTCCTCTCTGAAAATGTATAATATACACACTCAGTAAAGCATTTCACAAATGCCTTCGTGATTGCAGCCTCAAGCGACTTGGTGGTTCCCACCCACACGACTGTGATCATAGGTACTTTCAAGCTCCACCGCCGCCCTGATATCTACCCCAACCCTGATGAGTTCAACCCAGACAACTTCCTCCCAGAGAAGTCGGCCAGCAGGCACTACTACTCCTTCATCCCTTTCAGTGCTGGACCCCGTAGCTGTGTCGGTGCGTAATCTGTTGGATAATTCTAAAAAAATGTTAATATACTGTTAAGAGTCAAAAGTCTTGTTTTTAGGGAAATTATTGCATCATTGAACAGGCAAAGATATTAGCTGATGTTTCAGATGTGCTTCAACATCTATGTGTTCATTCAACACAATTCAGTTAAATTGTAGCTTGCCCTGAGGATGGGTTGCTGCAATTCATCCGAAACATCCACCATTTTCAATAATGTGGCTGTCTTCTGAAGAGTCAGATTAGACATTCTAGTTTGACCAAGGAAGCTAATCCTCTGACTGAAATATATTATTTTTAAAAACTATATATATATCAGCAACTTAACTTGTAGGTTACTTTTGTAAGATTATGATTTAAAATATCAAAAACTATATGGTAAAATACTTTACAAACAAGGCATTATTTCTGCATAAATTGAGTTTTGGAACCTCAAAATATAATTATCAATTCATTAGTGGTATCTGAATGGGTATTAGAATGGGTAAAAACAACCCCGTGCTCCTCATTATAAGTAAAGCCATTATAAATCATAGCAGTTTTAGTAATGGATTTCATTTAGTGTAATTTCAATGTGATAGAATAATATTACTTGTAGGAATCAAAATACTTAAATAACCACATTTCAAATGCTACAATTCCAGTTTGACTAATTCATACAAAAAGTCAAAAGTGGGGATAGTCTACTTTTTGAAACTTCTAAAATTTGAGCTTTCTAATTTCTGATAAATTGGATTGTTTCTTAAAAATTACTTTAATGGTTTAGTTAAATAAGCATGAACCATAGCTAGTCATGGCCCACATTCAAACATTCTTAGTGTTACATTTCCCAATACACATTTACAAACTCAATGTAACAGGTCGCAAGTACGCGATGTTGAAGCTGAAGGTTATTCTGTCTACAATCATGAGGAACTTCCGAGTGGCTGGAGGCAAGCCAATGGCTGACTGGAAGCTGCAAGCCGACATCATCCTGAAGAGGACGGATGGCTTCAACATCAAACTGGAGCCCCGTAAGAGGGTGCCCTCCTCAGCCACCGAGCTGACCGCTTAGGCTTACCAGCACAAACCAAACACCTGTATTTATTCTGTTAGTGTTCGTTATTGAACAGTAAAATATTCTGTTACTAAAACACGTTTTGTTTCTCCTGACAGTCTTTGCATTGTGAGTTTAGGATTATAGTAGAAACTTAGAAAAAAGGCAACAAAATACTTTTTGTTGGGGGAAATCTCATCAAACTATTGTGAAACAAGTTAGGGACTTTTTCAGTGGTTTTCCTGTTCTTCAGTTGATTCTCTGTAAGTCAAAGGAACTAGGCCTACCTATTTGCTATAGAGTTTCATCTATTATTTTAAGGGTGGCACCTGCCTTCGCCTATCACACTTTGGGACTACTGAAGATTTGAGAAAAGTCACTTTTATGTGTGTGTGTATTTCGCTTAGTGAAAACAACGTAGATTATCTGAAAGTTTTAAGGCAACCCGAATGCCTTACAAATAAACCTTACGCAGGTACATATAACTAAAATTAAGGTTACTTTCCACACAGGTTAAATTAAAAGTACCGGTAGTTAAAGATATATCTAAAATAAGTAGCCAATATTACCATTACAGTACATAGATTGTTTCTTATCTTTTTGAAGTGTAGACTTTCAATACATTTGACGGAGCAACAATTTTGGATAGACAAGAGATAGCGAACTCTGGTTTTCACCATTCTTTGAGTTTTTGTAAACGCTCCAAAATGAAGTGTCACTTGAAGTATTTAATTAATTTAATTTGATAATATAAATAATATGATAAATAGATTTAATTTGAAGTATTCAATGTATTTACACTTAACAATTTTAAGTTGACCCCAAAATCCGGTATTTTTGGGGGACACTCAAATTTTCAAAACTATAAATGAAACTTCCTGTTATAATTGCTCGACTATCAACGAATGTCTCTGTATATATTTACTTAGAAAAATATGGGGGTTCTTGACTTTTTATTCTACCTGTAGAAAACATATGGTCTTGCTATTGCAAACATTTTTAAATAATTGCCTGGCAACCAAATTTTCAATTTTAAAATTAAATCTTTCATTTTCAAATGAGAATGTCCAATTATAACCCAGCGAGAATATAAAATAGAAAGACCATGATATGTAGGTAGAAGCAGCAATCCGCATATCATTGTAAGCAATATGTAGTAGTTGCTTTGCAAATATTAACAGTGTCAACTCAATCGGAAGGTGAAGTTGAAAAATAACTTTATCCTGGAAGATACGATGGCAAGTAAAGCTCCTAGTTGAATAGAACAAGATTGTGCGAAGAAGAAAAAATATGAGGAAATGGGATGCCACAAAGACTACTATGGCTTAAGGGGTTTGCGTTTAATGGTCTAGTTGTGAGTAATAGATTTAAGAATTAAAATATTTATGCCATTATCTTCAATATTTATGCTAGTTTGAAATGAACCAAAAATGTTTACCAAATTTAAATGGAAAATATTGTTTAGGGTGAGGTGGGGTAAGTGCACTACGTAAAATCAAAAGTTCAACTTTGACCAAGTCTGAGCACATCATTTTTAATGTTAGAAACTTCATATTTTTACCATGCATTTTCAAGAATGTTTTCTATTAGTCTTGAAATTTCCATAAAAATAAAAAATAAAACTCTAATAATTTTTATTTTTTTATTTTTTTCTACCCAGTGTATGCACTTGCCCCAAGTAGTGGGGCAAGTGCATTTTCTGTATCTATATCCCATGGTAAGTGTATTAGGAAAACAGTGGGGTTAGAGCATATAGAACTTTTTGGGAGCTTTCTAACACTTTTTACAGAACTGAATTATCTCTTACAGTTTTTGAGATACGAACTTTTTTCAAAGGCGAGAAATCTTGTGTTTAAAAATGCTTAAAAACGTAATTTTTATTTCACTTACCAAATTGGGTTAATCCATCTCCTGGTAGTGGGAATAAATGTTTTTGATAAAAATGGGTATCTTTAAGTGTCCTTATCACTTTTTAAACATGAAAACTGTTTTTTACGATAAAAATAAAGTTATAAAAAACACTCACTCACTCTAATAGTCACTTATTTTTCATATTTACACGTTTTGTATGTACATTTTTTACATTTATTTCTATTGGATGTTGTATGAGGAGAATTGTATGTTAAAAACAATTTCTCCTCTGCGACCCAGTGAAGGTTCTGGTAAAATTTTTATAATATCTTCGTCTGTTACCTCGCTCAAGTCTTCATTTTCAGGGTATTGGAAGATGCTGATCTTCATGTTAGGTATTTTTCTCACATACCTTACTATTGGGTTACCGTCAGTATTAATTGATTCAATTATCCCCACAAAATGTTTGACCGTTTTTTTTGTGGCAAACTTTACTAAAACCCAGTCATTAACTTTTCTTACATTTTCAGGGTTGACTATAGCTTCTGTTTCTTTTTCATATTCTTCCTCCCTTTGCATTTGAGACCACAAGTCTTCAATATCACTTGACTCGTCGCTTTCTAAGCTTTCCGAGCTTTCTGAGCTTTCTGAAGTTATGTAATCTTCCATCTTCTTCTTTTTCCCTTTAGGAAAATTTTGTTTTTCTTTTGGTCCTCTTTTGTTTTTTGTCATTTTTGGCTTGTTTACTTTTTCTTTTTTTTTCTTTTCTTCCTCCTCTTTTTCTTTAAGTCTTTGGATGACATCTTCATGTGTTATGATCTCAGCTCCCTTAGCTATTCTTGTTCTTTTCGACTTTTGTACTGGTGAATTGGTAGCAATTGTCTTAAGGAAAAGTTCTTCAAAACTAGAATTCTGTTTTGACACACATTCATCTTCATTTTCACAGCTCATGTTTAGGGTAGGCTTCTGTATACGTGATGTTCCTGCTTGAAGTTCATGATCAGTTTGGGGCTCATCACTGAAGATTTGAGGGTCAGGATCATCAGGATTATCCGAATCTTCATTATCTTCTATGGATTGAGATGCTGTTGATTTAGAATGGTGATCTTCCCACCTTTTTAGGGCTGATGGTTCAAATTTTGATTTTGGAATTACATCTGCATTAAAAGGGTGGATCCCTCCTTTTTTAAAACCGTTGGTAATATTTTCAGGTTTCAGCTCTTGCCAAACTTTTCCCAGTAAAGAGGAAAATACCTTTTTGGGTACTTTTGATGCTTTGTTTTGTCTCTGCCATTTGACCAGCTCTTGGTCCCAAGTACTCTTAAAGGATTTGATTACCGCAAGATCAAGAGGTTGAAGAAGGTGGCTTGTGTGTGGAGGCAACTTTATTATTGTTATCTGCTCTTCAACTGCCTTCTGAATTAAATCTAAGTTTATGTGGGTACTGTGACCATCATAAATTATTATTACCGGTCTTTCTGGCCCAATACTCTTCAACAAGCTTCTTTCAAAATAGTTTTTAAACACATCAGTCTCCATCCAACCATTCTTTGTAGCTGCGTAGGTAGTTCCAGGATACGCTTGTGCTGAGGTCCACTCGTCCCACACATTTTTGCCCTTGAAAACAATTAGTGGGGGTAACTTAGCTCCTGCTGCACTACAGCCTAATAGGACAGTTATGTTTTCTCTCCCTGGAGCACTTGTTGTTCTCGTGGCTGAAACCCCTATTTCCCCAACAACCTTTGATTTTGACGGATCCAAACAGAAGCCGGTCTCATCTAGATTCCATATCTGGGTCGGAGGTACTTTCAGCTCTTCTAAGGTATCTTTCAAAATGTTAAAATATTCATAAATGATGAAAGGATCACATGCTTTTCTACGAGCAATTTCAACATTTTCAGGTTTCTTAATAGAAAGACGGTGACGCTTTCTAAAACCAATGAACCAGTCTTTGCCTGGGGTATTGTTTTTAAAGCTATTTTTGATACCATTATCTGCAACATACTGACCAACAAGTTCTAAGACTTCTTTTCTTGTCAATCCAAATCCGTATTTTTCCAAGCACTTTATACCTGTTACTAACTTAATTTCCTCTTCTAAGGGGATTGTTGTATCCCTTCCACCAGATTTAGATTTATTCCCTCGTCTGCCTCTTACATGGTCTGATATCGTTGGAACAGGTATTTTATAGATTTTGCTAGCTCTTCGCAGTCCACACTTTCCACTTTTAACATCATCCACAGCTTTTTTCAAGTCCTCTTTTGAATAACTTAATCCTCTTATTGTCTTTCTTTTATAATTACGCACCATTTTCAAACAATAAACTTTTAACTAGCTACTTTAACTACGTTGTCACTAGGCTACTTGCTCAAATTACAACAAGTACGGTAGGCTACCTAGAAAGCAAAGAAAAATTCTTAGTAAACAAGCAAAGACAAACTTAAATCATATTAGATAAAACAAACATGCAGGAATATGAGTTTAAGCATAACATTTACATGGCGGGGCAAGTGCATATTTGGTGTGTGCACTTGCCCCACATCAACAAAAATAGGGGGCAAGTGCACAACGCCCATTAATTTTTAAACTTATAATAGATGGAAACTAAATCCAAACATGACTGAAAAGTACACTTAAAACTGTACAAAATAAACCAATAATAATAATAATAATAAAATTTTTTACTTTTTTGTTATGTTAAAAAAAAATCTATACGATCTTTCCCTCGGAGGAAAAATTACATGAACTTAAAAAAGTTTATTCCACATATTTAAATCATTCCATGGAAATATAGCTTTATAATGTACATGAAGTATGATAAAAAAGGAAGCTTTTGCTACAAATCCTGGTACTGTAGGGCAAAACGTAAGCGATTGAGATACCTCGTATGCTCTTGCCCCATTTATGCTCTTACCCCACCTCACCCTAGGTTTATGCGGGTTAGGCATGACAGATAGTGGACTTCTTTAAACAGTGAGACAGCACAGCATAAATTAGAAATGTAAATTTATACTACAAACTCAATAACAGTAAAAGACAATAACAACATGGTGGTGGGGTGAATAAAAACCACACTCTGCAGACTTCACACCAGACTCTGCACATTGCACAAGCTTACAGCTAATGGAAAATATTAGTCTATTTTTGAGTAGGAAATAATATTTGTAGCTTAATTTTTTAGGTAGTCAATGTATTTAATTTATTTCTTCTAAGTCAAATGGCATTTATTGTTTTGAAAATGGTCTT